CAGGAACAAATTCACTAAATTCAGTGGGATTGGGCTGTCATCTGTGAGGTCAGATTCAGGTCTTTTAGACTCTCTCTTAGACACTTGGGGCCAGATTTTTAAAGGCACCTAGCGGGATTCTGAGATGAACCTAGGCACGTACAATCCATTAAAATCAATGGATGTTAGGCATCTAGATGCTTTTGAAAATCCCACTGGGCACCTAAAAAAACACCTTTAAAAACCTGGCCCTTCATTTTTGATCCACTGCATGATCCAGTGGAAAGAAGAACTTAGCTCCAATTAGAGCTGTCCAGGAATTTTTCAAATAAAGTTTTTTTTTTTGGTCAGAAAACGCCGATTGCCAAAACCAAACCGTTTTGCTAAAATGTACCCATTTCAATGAGACATCTGTCAGGAAGGTTTCTCAGGTCCAGGATGAAATTTCTGCTCAGAATAAGAGAGCAATCCACCCCAGAGTAGCCCAGTGTTTAAGCTCTCACCTAGGATGTGGAAGAACCAGATTCAAGTCTCTCCTCTCAATTAGGCAGAACAGGGCCTTGAACTTCTCACATCCCAGGTGAGTGTCCCAGGCTATTGGCTGTTCTGCAGCAAGTGGGTCAAAGTTTCCTTCTTCTTTTTATTTTTCATGAAAAAATTCAAAAAGTGTCATTTTCACTCCCCATTAGAATAAAATCAAATGTCCGAAGTTCTTGTTTTCCAGCCAGCACCAGTTCTGCTATGTTTGAATATTGCTGTTTAGCTATGGGAAAATCATTTCATGTCCTCATGCCTCAGTATTCAGAGATTCATATATTCCAAGGCCAGAAGGGACCATTGTGCTCATCTTTTCTGATATCATGTATAACACAGGCCAGAGAATTCCCCCAAAATAATTCCTAGAGCAGATCTTGATTTAAAAAATGCCAGCGATGGAGAATGCACCACAACCCTTTGTAAATTGTTCCAGTTAATTACTCTGACCATTAAAAATGTATGCCTTATTTCCACTCTGAATTTGTCTAGTTTCAGCTTCCAGCCATTGGACCATGTTATACCTTTATCTGCTAGATTGAAGAGCCCATTATTAAATATTTGTTCCCCAAGTAGATATTTATAGACTGTGATCAAGTCACCTTCTCATTGTTAAGCTAAATAGATTGAGAACATAAGTACTGTAATATTGGGTCAGAACAATGGCCCATCTAGCTCAGTATCCTGTCTTCCAACAGTGGAAAATGACAGATGCTTCAAAGGGAATGAACAGAACAGAGCAATCAACAGATGATCCATCCCCTATCATCCGCCATCATCCAGTTCCAGCATCTGGCAGTCAGAGGTTTAGAGACACCTAAAGCATTGGGTTGCATTCCTGACCACCTTGACTAATAGCCATTGATGGACCTATCCTCCATGAACTTATCTAATTCTTTTTTGATTCCAAAGTTATAGTTTTCGCCTTCACAACATCCCCTGGCAATGAGTTCCACAGGCTGTGTGTTGTGTGAAGAAGTACTTCCTTTTGTTTGTATTAAACCTGCTGCCTATTAATTTCATTAGGTGACCCCTGGTTCTTGTGTTATGTGAAGGGGTAAATAACACTTCCTTATTCACTTTCTCCACAACATTCATGGTTTTATAGACCTCTATCATATACCCCCTTAGTCGCCTCTTTTCCAAACTGAATAGTCCCCATATTTTTAATCTCTCCTCATAGGGAAGCTGTCCCATAACCCTAATAATTTTTGTTGCCCTTTTCTGAACCTTTTCCAATTCTAATATATCTTTTTTGAGATGGGGTAACCAGAATTGCATGCAGTATCCAGGGTGTGGGCATACCATGGATTTATATAGTGGCATTAACATATTTTCTGTTTTTATTATCTATCCCTTTCCTAATGGTTTTTCACATTCTGTTCGTTTTTTTGACTGCCGCTGCACATTCAGCAGATGTTTTTAGAGAACTATCCACAATCACTCCAACATCTTTTTCTTGAGTGGTAACAGATACTTTAGACCCCATCATTTTTTATGTATAGGTGGGATTATGTTTTCCAGTGTGCATTACTTTGAATTCACCAACACTGAATTTCATCTGCCATTTTGTTGCCCAGTCACCTAGTTTTGTGAGATCTTTTTTTATCTCTTCCCAGTCTGCTTTGGATTTAACTATCTTGTCGGTTACATATCACAGTTAGTAGTTCTGAAATTTCATATTTGAGTTCCTTCAGAACTCTTGGGTGAATACCCTATGGTCCTGGTGATTTCTTACTGTTTATAAATTTGTTCCAAAACCTCCTCTTTTGACATCTCAATCTGGGACAGCTCTTTGGATTTGCCACCTAAAAAGAAAGGCTCAGGTGTAAGAATCTCTCTCATATCTTCTGCAGTGAAGACCGATGCAAAGAATTCATTTAGCTTCTCTGCAATGGCCTTATCTTCCTTGAGTGCTTCTTTAGCACCTCGATTGTCCAATGGCCCCACTGATTTTTTGGCAGGCTTCCTGCTTCTGATGTACTTAATTTTTTTTTCTGTTAGATTTTGAGTCTTTTGCTAGATGCTCTTAAATTCTTTTTTGGCCTGCTTAATTATACTTTTACACTTGACTTGCCAGATTTTATGCTCCAGTCTATTTTCCTCAGTAGGATTTGACTTCCAATTTTTAAAGCATGCCTTTTTGCTTCAAACTGCTTCTTTACTTTCTTTACCAGACCTTGCCTACAGACAGCCCCGCAACCTGAAGCAAATACTCACCAACAACCACATACCACACAACAGAACCACTAACCCAGGAACTTATCCTTGCAACAAAGCCCGTTGCCAACTGTGCCCACATATCTATTCAGGGGACACCATCACAGGGCCTAATAACATCAGCCACACTATCAGAGGCTCGTTCACCTGCACATCCACCAATGTGATATATGCCATCATGTGCCAGCAATGCCCCTCTGCCATGTACATTGGTCAAACTGGACAGTCTCTACGTAAAAGAATAAATGGACACAAATCAGATGTCAAAAATTGTAACATTCATAAACCAGTCGGAGAACACTTCAATCTCTCTGGTCACGCACTCACAGACATGAAGGTCGCTATCTTAAAACAAAAAAACTTCAAATCCAGACTCCAGCGAGAAACTGCTGAATTGGAATTCATTTGCAAATTGGATACTATTAATTTAGGCTTAAATAGAGACTGGGAGTGGCTAAGTCATTATGCAAGGTAGCCTATTTCCCTTTGTTTTTTCCTACCCCTCCCACCCAGACGTTCTGGTTAAACTTGGATTTAAACTTGGAGAGTGGTCAGTTTGGATGAGCTATTGCCAGCAGGAGAGTGAGTTTGTGTGTGTGTGTGTGTCCCCGGAGAAAAAAGGGGGGGGGTGAGAAAGCCTGGATTTGTGCTGGACATGGCCCACCTTGATTACCATGCACATTGTAGGGAGAGTGGTCAGTTTGGATGAGCTATTGCCAGCAGGAGAGTGAGTTTGTGTGTGTGTGTGTGTCCCCGGGGAAAAAAAGGGGAGGGGGTGAGAAAACCTGGATCTGTGCAGGAAATGGCCCACCTTGATTATCATGCACATTGTAGAGAGATTTCAGAGTAACAGCCGTGTTAGTCTGTATTCGCAAAAAGAAAAGGAGTACTTGTGGCACCTTAGAGACTAACCAATTTATTTGAGCATGAGCTTTCGTGAGCTACAGCTCACTTCATCGGATGCATACCGTGGAAACTGCAGCAGACTTTATATACACCCAGAGAACATGAAACAATACCTCCTCCCACCCCACTGTCCTGCTGGTAATAGCTTATCTAAAGTGATCATCAAGTTGGGCCATTTCCAGCACAAATCCAGGTTTTCTCACCCTCCGCATCCCCCCACCACCACACACACACAAACTCACTCTCCTGCTGGTAATAGCGCATCCAAAGTGACAACTCTCTACACAATGTGCATGATAATCAAGTTGGGCCATTTCCTGCACAAATCCAGGTTCTCTCACCCCCTCACCCCCCTCCAAAAAACACACACACAAACTCACTATCCTGCTGGTAATAGCTCATCCAAAGTGACCACTCTCTCTAAATAAGAAAAGGAGTACTTGTGGCACCTTAGAGACTAACCAATTTATTTGAGCATGAGCTTTCGTGAGCTACAGCTCACTTCATCGGATGCATACCGTGGAAACTGCAGCAGACTTTATATATACACAGAGAATATGAAACAATACCTCCTCCCACCCCACTGTCCGGAAATGGCCCAACCTGATGATCACTTTAGATAAGCTATTACCAGCAGGACAGTGGGGTGGGAGGAGGTATTGTTTCATATTCTCTGTGTATATATAAAGTCTGCTGCAGTTTCCACGGTATGCATCCGATGAAGTGAGCTGTAGCTCACGAAAGCTCATGCTCAAATAAATTGGTTAGTCTCTAAGGTGCCACAAGTACTCCTTTTCTTATTTAGAGAGAGTGGTCACTTTGGATGAGCTATTACCAGCAGGATAGTGAGTTTGTGTGTGTGTTTTTTGGAGGGGGGTGAGGGGGTGAGAGAACCTGGATTTGTGCAGGAAATGGCCCAACTTGATTATCATGCACATTGTGTAGAGAGTTGTCACTTTGGATGCGCTATTACCAGCAGGAGAGTGAGTTTGTGTGTGTGTGGTGGTGGGGGGATGCGGAGGGTGAGAAAACCTGGATTTGTGCTGGAAATGGCCCAACTTGATGATCACTTTAGATAAGCTATTACCAGCAGGACAGTGGGGTGGGAGGAGGTATTGTTTCATGTTCTCTGGGTGTATATAAAGTCTGCTGCAGTTTCCACGGTATGCATCCGATGAAGTGAGCTGTAGCTCACGAAAGCTCATGCTCAAATAAATTGGTTAGTCTCTAAGGTGCCACAAGTACTCCTTTTCTTTTTGCGAATACAGACTAACACGGCTGTTACTCTGAAACCTTCTTTATTCTATTGTTTTGGCACAGTGGCATTTTTTTTGTCCTCTTTCTATTCTTTTTAATTTCAGGTATACATTGAATCTGATCCTCTGTTATGGTGATCCCTCTCCAATGTATCACCATCTGTCTTGAATTGTGGGCACAAGATCTGGACGCGGGATTCCAGCAGTGGTTGCACCAGTGCCAACTACAGAGGTAAAATAACCTCTCTGCTCCCACTTGAGATCCCCCTGTTTATACATCCCATGATTGCATTAACTCTTTAGGCCACAGTGTCACACTGAGAGCTCATGTTCAGTTCATTATCCACCATGACCCCCAAATCTTTTTCAGAGTCACTGCTTCCCAGGGCAGAGTCCCCCCATCATGTAAGGATAGCCTACATTCTTTGTTCCTGGATGCATACATTTATATTTAGTCATATTAAAATGTATATTGTTTGCTTGTGCCCAGTTTACCAAGCAATCCAGATCACTCTGAAATACTACTGTATCCTCTCCATTATTTCAGTATCCTAGTCTTATCATATCTCACCTTTGTTTAAATTCACTTGAGTTACCACACGATGCAACTGGTAAGAGCCCTAATCACTAGTCTATGGCGCGGTCCTCACTCTCTGTATGTCTGGCCCAATGCATATTTAATTGTTTATACACAGTGGAACAGCTTCAACAGAGCAGACTGAGGACACCTTGCCCAGAATACCCCAGCCACCAGTGGCTAAGGACTTCTTCTGCACAGTGGGAGACTCAAGTGCCTTTTCCACAGTGGAGAGAAGGGGGGATCAAACTCAAGTTTTCCCAAGAGAGCTCTAACCACTGGGCTAAATGTCATAAGGAGAGGCCTGACTTTCATTCTGGGTGGGCTCAGGCGTGCTCTGAGAGCACGTACTGGATCGGCCCCACTGGTAGGCAGAAGAACACCCAATTTGAGGATCCTGCTGGGGTTAGGCGTGAGTCTGGGTGCTTAGACAGTTAACCTGGCAGGCTTTTAGGCACCTATAGCACTTTACCAGTGGGAAGTTAGGGACCCAGGCCCAGAGGTTTAAAGGTATTTAGGCACCCAGTGGGATTTTGAAACACACCTGGGTGCCTGACACCCATTGGAATCAATGAATTTTAGGCATCTTGATACTTTTGAAAATTTCACCCGATGCCTAAATACCTTAAACAATCTGGCCATCTATGGGGTAAGGCAGCAGCTGAGTGGGGGTTTTGTGACTGTCCGTGGGGCATAAATGTTGGACTGAGGTGCCTAAAATGGCATTTAGGGGCCTAAGCCCCTTTGTGAACCAAGAACTTAGTCAGAAAAGTGACCAGACAGGGCTTAAAATAAACACAAGCAGCAGGTCTGTTGAATAAGAAGATGCCATTATAGTTGCGCCTCATGAACCTGTATTGTAAACCTTGTAAATACATGGTGATGGAGAAGAAAAGGAGGAGTCTTGTTATTTTCCTGAGCTGCAAGATATGTCCTGCAGCATAATATCTAAAACCAGTCTCCATCTATCTTCTGTTTCTCGTTCCATGACCATTTCCCATTGGCCTTCCTTCTGCAGTGTACATCTACACAAGAAATGTCCAACAGAACTACTGTAACTCAGTTCTTTCTCCTGGGATTCTCTGACGTACGGGAACAGCAGATTTTACAATTCCTGATATTTCTAGTGATTTATCTGGCAGCCCTGGTGGGGAATCTTCTCATCATCACAGTGGTAGCCCTCGACCACCACCTTAACACCCCCATGTACTTTTTCCTGGGCAACTTATCCTTCCTCGACCTCTGCTACATCTCAGTCACCATCCCCAAGTCCATGGCTGACTCCCTAACCAACAACAGAGTCATCTCTTTCTCTGGATGTGTCACCCAAGTCTTTTTGATTGTATTTTTTGCAGTAGCAGAGCTGGCCTTTCTCACGGTGATGGCGTATGACCGCTACACTGCAATCTGCCGCCCTCTGCATTACAGGGTGACTATGAACAGAGGTGCATGTGCCCAGATGGCAGCTGGTTCATGGATTAGCAGCATGATCTGCTCTGTATTACACACAGCTAATACTTTTAGGTTACATTTCTGCGGGTCCAATGTTATCGCTCAGTTTTTCTGTGATATCCCACAGTTGCTAAAGATCTCTTGCTCTGATACACATGCTAATGTAATAGTCATGATTGCCCTTGGATCACTTATAGATGTGGTCTGTTTTGTATTGATAATTGTGTCCTACATTCACATCTTCTTCACGGTGATGAGAATCCCCTCTGAGCAGGGCAGGTACAAAGCCTTCTCCACCTGCATCCCACACCTGATTGTTTTTTGTTTATTTATCAGTACAGCATCATTTACGTACATGAGGCCCAGGTCGATGTCTTCAACATCTCTGGACCTGATGGCTGCTGTGTTGTATTGTGTGGTGCCACCACTAATGAATCCAATCATTTACAGTCTAAGAAACAAAGAGATAAAAAGTTCTCTGTGGAAAATGATAGGCAGGATATTTTTTTCCCAAGAAAAACAAATTCCTCACACTGAACTCTTAGTGTCCTCCTGGAATAAAGTATTCCCATGCTCCACCTTATGTAATGGGTCAAGCTGACTTTGGATGAGGACCAGCCTATGTTCATGTTAAGATTAGAACCTGACATTTTGCATTTTCTGATTTTGGCTGAAAACTTTTAAAATTTGAAAAAAATCTGGGGAAAAAAAAATAAAGCATCTAAGTGTCCCAGGATCCAAAGTCCCATTTTCAAGGAAGACTCAGGCACTTCTGAAAATTTTACTCTTAGGTGCTCAAATCCCGATGAGTTTTTGATAGAATGTGGGAGTCTAATTATCTTTTGGCCCCTTTGAAAATCCCAGGAAGAGTTAATTGCAATTTTTCCATTTCCTATTTTGGACTATCCACTTAAAAAGAATTTTTTTAAATTTCAAAATGTAATTTACAAATAAAAACAGTGATTTTTTTTTCATTTCAAAATGCTAACTCCAAATTTAAAAAAAATTGAAATTTTTTAAATGGGCATTTTGACTTAAAATGTCATTTTAAGTCAAACTGACAATTCATAATGATTATTGTCTTTGCTGTTTTGTAGCCGTGTTGGTCCTAGGCTATGAAAGAGACATGGTGGGTGAGGTAATATCTTTTATTGTACCAACTTCTGTTGGTGGAAGAGACAAGTTTCCGAGCAACCTGAAGAAGAACTGTGTAGCTTGAAAGCTTGTCTTTTCCACCAACAGAAACTGGTCTAATTCATAATGACTTTTTTTCATTTGCAGATGACATTTCTAAATGAAAGAATTTTCATTGGCATGTTAAAGAGTTTCATTCTGGTTAAAAAAACAACAACAGCATTTTTAGTTTTGACATTTCCCAATCAATATTTTGAGAACTTTTTATTCTGTGAACATGTTTGTATTTCTACTTTTCACCCCTATCTGAGATTAAAACACATTTCAAAATACCAGAATTTCTCACAGAAGTTTCTGTGTTACAATCAGCTGTAAGCCTCAGGCTTTTACACTAACAACATTTTCATTTTGACTTTACAAGGAGCGGGCTGCTGACCTCTCCACACCTCAGGGGAAAGGACTGAGGAGGGAAAAGGGGCCAGTGGGGAGGACATGGCTGAGGCCTGCAGCTGGCCTTATTTACACCCCAGCTCCAGCTCCTCCTCACCCCCCATAGGGGAGGTAGGCACACTTCCACCCATCTCCCCATTGTATCCACTGAGCAATGAGTCCCTTTTGACTAGGGCTGGGTAGAAAATATGTTTTTTTCTGTAGAAAATTTTGACTTTATGACAAACAACCCATCCCCCCAACTTTCAGCTGAAAATGTAAATTTCTATTTGGAAATACCACTGCCATGTCTCATGGGAGTTGCAGTTCATGTGCTTCAAACCCCCATTCTCCTCTATGGACAGGTTCTCTGGCTGGACAACATCTGTACCATGGGATTCCTTCTTACTGAGCCATTGTAGTGCATCATGGGAGTCCCATGGCTGCAATTTATCATGGGGGATGTAGTCTGGCTAGGGAGTCCAGCCCATAAAGGAGAATGTGACCACAAGGAAATCAAACTACAGCTCCCATGAGACACTGAAGAAGAGAGATTCACTTTTCTTTCACCTGAAAGTTTTCAGACAAACAATGTTGGGCTTTGGGGTTTTGGTTTTCCAGAGATAGCAGACATTTTTTGCAAAAAGATCCATGTGGTTGAAAACTGAATTTTCCATTGAAAAACATATCTGACAAAAAAATTTAAACCAGTTTTACTTGTGACGACAGCACAGAGAGACATTGACAAGAAGGTTTGGTGCTCCATTTTCTGCCCTCAGGGTGGTCCCCTCATTCATGCAGCCAGAGGAGATTGGGGATTGTGCAAAAAAATTTCATTAGTTTCTTCTCTTGTTGATAATCAGACAGGAGCCTGGACCTTGGAGAATGGGTTCTCCTGTTGCCCACAAAAGGGGCTCCTGCAGAGTGGGGCTGAAGTATATTGGCAAGGAGTGGGGTGTGGAGAAAGGTTATCTAGCCACAACCTCTGCTTTTAAGTGTTCTGTCAAAAATAGATGACTTCAGGCTGGAGTTTTCAAAGGAGCTCAAGGGCTTTAAGCACTGAACTCCCACAGTGATTCAGTAGGTGTTGTGCAATCCTTACTCCTTTAGGTGCCTTTGAAAATTACAGCTTTCTGTCTCTTGTGCTGCTCAGTTGCTTGGACACCTCCAAGTGTCTGGGCTTCTGTGTTGGGTGTCCCCTCATTGATGCTAGGACCTGCACCTCTGTCCCTTTTTTGTCCCTCCTTCTTATTTCTTGTAGCCCCTCCCCTCCATGAGCAGCCCCACATACCCACCTTGTCCCGCATCTCCTCCACACCCCCACTTCCCCTGAGGCCCCTGCTGCTCCAGTTCTCCGCCCCTCTCCCATGCCAAGTGCTCCCCCCACCTGTTGCAAGCGGCAGGCAGCAGGGTTCTCGTGAGGGAGGGGGTGAGGAGGGACATGGCAAGTGGTGGGCGGGGGTGAGGAGGGATGTGATGGGCAGGGGGTGTCTCTCAGGCGAGAGGGGTGAGGAGGGTTGTGGT